GGGAGGGGGAGTTGAAATGGTTCGCGACTGGGAGGTGCAGTTGTTTATTGCGAACCGAGCGTAGGTGTTCTGCAAAGCGGTCCCCGAGCCTCCGCTTGGTTTCCCCGATGTAGAGGAGGCCACAACGGGTACAGTGGATGCAGTATACCACATTGGCAGATGTGCAGGTGAACATCTGCTTGATGTGGAAAGTCTTCTTGGGGCCTGGGATGGGGGTGAGGGAGGAGGTATGGGGGCAGGTGTAGCACTTCCTGCGGTTGCAGGGAAAAGTGCCGGGTGTGGTGGGGCTGGAGGGGAGTGTGGAGCTGACAAGGGAGTCACGGAGAGAGTGGTCCCTCCGGAAAGCAGATAAGGGTGGGGAGGGAAAGATGTCTTTGGTGGTGGGGTCGGATTGCAGATGGCGGAAGTGTCGGAGGATGATGCGTTGGATCCGGAGGTTGGTGGGGTGGTACGTGAGGACAAGGGGGATTCTTTTTTGGTTCTTATTGCGTGGACGGGGTGTGAGGAGAATTGCGGGAGATGTGGGAGACACGGTTGAGGGCGTTCTCGACCACTGTGGGGGGGGGAAGTTACGGTCCTCGAAAAACGAGGACAACTGAGATGTACGGGAGTGGAATGCCTCATCCTGGGAGCAGATGCGGCAGAGGCGAAGGAATTGGGAATAGGGGATGGCATTTTTGCAGGAAGGTGGGTGGGAGGTTCAAAATCTCCCCTCCCCCTACCGCATCCCAAAACCAGTCCAGCTTGTCCCCGCCTCCCTAACCTGTTCTTCCTCCCACCTATCCCCTCCTCCCACCTCAAACTGCACCCCCATCTCCTACCTACTAACCTCATCCCGCCCCCTCGACCTGTCCGTCCTCCCTGGACTGACCTATCCCCTCCCTAACTCCCCACCTACACTCACCTTTACTGGCTCCATCCCCGCCTCTTTGACCTGTTTGTTTCCTCTCCACCTATCCTCTCCTCTATCCATCTTCTATCCGCCTCCCACTCTCTCCCTATTTATTTCAGAACCCCCTTCCCCTCCCCCTTTTCTGATGAAGGGTCTAGGCCCAAAACGTCAGCCTTTCTGCTCCTATGATGCTGCTTGGCCTGCTGTGTTCATCCAGCTCTGCACCTTGTTGTCTCGGATTCTCCAGCATCTGCAGTTCCTACTATCTCAGGTTGGTAATCCACCTGAAAACCTTCCGATATACTTATGACAGGTAGTAAGAGTGGGAGAGTCTCCAGTCAGCCAGAGTCTGGAGAAAGCATTGACAAACCACTGCAGTAATTTGTCAAGTAATATCATGGGCCAACACATGGAGGTTCATGGTCACTAATGTACTCTTAGAGCATGGTACCTGAAGAGACAGGAAAGAAAGAGAGAGAATGAGTTATCAAGGGATACGGCTCAAAGCTGGGAAAATTAAGTTGAGATACAATGGTACAGGGCAGAATGATCTACTCCTATGGGCCATGGTGGTTTCATATATCCTCCAGGCAACACTGTCCCTCACAGACTCCAATAGCACTTCAAGCAAACTAAGATTTTGATTTAAAATGCAAAAGAAAATAAATTAGGAACAAGTCGCAAGTTTCACTCTGGATCAGGTTGGAAATTACTGAAAGGCAAAAAATAAGATTTGGAAGAAAGGAAAATGAACAAGTGACATTTGAAGAACAGAAAATGACCAGCTGTTCCATTATGTCTGTTCTATACTGTAGTGGTAATAATGTCTGTGCACTATGACAGTAGCTGATGCTCAGAGATACACATTTTCTCATGGCAAGACAGTTGGTGGAAAATAAGAGCAGGAACTCAATCTGATCTTTCTTCTTCCTAACTCAAGGATATGAGAGTCAGTTGTAATCCTCCAGAACTTGTCTGAGCTCATTTCAACTAACTCATCAAGGGATAAGAGTTGAATCTTAATCCTTTGTTATCTATGTGACTCAGTGATATGTCACAGGATGTATGTGTATATTTATGCATATATTCACATATTTGTGAGCATACCTCTCTCTATATGCCAACTTGTAATTATCTCTGAGTTAAATTTATACAAGAACCAAATGTTAAAATACTGTCCAATTGAGAATTTTTTTGTGATAGATGACTCACCAAAGAAAGCAATTTTGGAAATACTACTATTTCTATAATGATTTATTCATTATGGGGAAAGGTCTAGGCACCAAAAGACTACTTGACAGAGAAAGAAGTAGAAGGATATGTTTTGAGCGTTGGGGGAAGGATGTTCTTATAATGCATAAACACAGCTATAGACTAGTTAGTATGATTGGCCTGTTACTGTGCCATGAATTCTGTGTATTATTCCATTATTATGTTGAAAGGAAGTTTGGATCCAAATCCTTTTTAAATTTGAATCTCAGTCTGACTTATTTTCATTGCAAACGTGAATAATTTCCAGGATAGTCCACAGAACTTCAGCAGCACAATACTGTCCCTCTCTTTGAACAGTTATTCTAAATGTATTAGAAGTTTGCTCAGACATACATCACATTGACTGCTGCAACTGCTTTCATCACTGTCATAGCTGGTGGTCCTGGGATTCACTGCTTGCAGACGCTTCAGTTTGGGTTTTTCACGTGGAGGAGTTTTATTATTTGTTACTTTCTGTCAAGGAATAAAGATAAAAAATGAAAGTGAATTTTACCTTTGTATTCATCTTAATATTATCTGGATTTTTCAAGTCGATAATAAAGTAAACAGTAAACTTCACTGAAACCACTAGTTTCATCAAAACGTCATTGATTCAAATGAGGTTTATTCATCCAAATGGTAACAGAGCCCATCGTTGGTATGTTAAAGGTTATGCTTTAGGTGCCTGGTTTCAGTTGGGTACACCTTGTAATATTGTCATAGAGTCATACAGCATAGAAAGGCCCTTTGGCCCATTGAGTCTGTATTGACCTAAATACACTAATCACACTTTCCAGCTCTAGACCCTTAGCCTTGAATGTTATGACATTTCGACCACGGTTCATGTACTTTTTAAAAGTTGTGAGGTTGCCTGCCTCAACCACCCTCCCAGGCAGTGCATTCCAGATTCCTGCAACCTTCTGGATGAAAAACATTTTCCTCAAACCCCCTCTAAACCTCCTGCCTTCACCTCAAAATTATGCCCCATTATTATTAAGGTGAACAGCTACTTTCTTTTCACCCTGTTCATGCCCCTCATAACCTTGTACACCCCAGTCAGATTCCCCCTCCCCGAGCCTTCTCTGCCCTAAAGAAAACAACCTGAACTTATCCAGCCTTTCTTCATTGGTAAAACGTGCCAACCCAGGCAGCATCCTGGTGAATCTCCTCAGCTCCTCCTGTAGTACAATCCTTCTCAGTCTCCAGCAACACTGTGTTTGAATACAGGACTGTAGGCATCACTAGCCAGGCCAGCATTTACCACCCATCCCTCGATGCCCGAGGGCAGTTAAGAGTCAGCAACATTGTTGTGGGTCTGGAGTGACATGTAGGCCAGACCAGTTAAGGATTGCAGTTTCCTTCCCCAAAGGGAATTAGTGAACCAGATAAGTTTTTGCCAACAATCGACAATGGCAACAAGTCATCATTAGACAATTAATTCCAGATTTTTGTTGGATTCAAATTCTACCATGACAGGATTCGAAATGTGGTCCCCAGAACATTACCTGGATCTCTGGAGCAACAGTCCAGTGGTAATGCCACTAGGCCATCACCTCCCCATTGTTTGTTGCTAGCTGTAAAACTCTGAATAAATGACTTCATTTTCATGGGCTCAGAAAAGAGGAGGGTCTACGTTGTGAACAAAGTTTATCAGCAGCAGCATGAACTTAATATGGAGAACAACGTGGTGTGAAGTATTTGTAATGGTCAAATAGGACATCTAAATTATGCCAGCAGATTATGCATTCATGCCATTCTCCACAGTCTTAGCCACAAGGTCTAGACATGAGGTTTAATGTGGTGCCAGGGGAGTGTTGGTGATGGTGTCATCACTTGGATGAGATTTTAAACTAAAAACCTCATCTGTTCACTCGTGCGGAGATAAAATATCCCAACAAACTATTCTAAGAACAGCAAAAGGGTTCTTTCAGTGCGTTGGCCATAAGTCATTCCTCAAACAACACCAAAACGCAGCTGTTCCAAAAAATTACTTCATGGTTTTATTTGTGCAGATTGGTTGCCATTTTTCTTATATCTCAACAGTCACTACACTTTAAAATTATCCATTGACTATACGACACCTTGGGACATATTGTGGAATGTGCTATTTAAACACAAATTTATCTTTATTTTTTCATATCTGAAAAGAGGGCAGAAACTAATACTCATGAAGAATAAATTGTATCACACAAACCGGTTCAATCAAATCAATCCATCCTTACACTTTTATTTAATCCTAGATAATAACTGGCTTCTCCATTGACTGCCCATTCCAAGCCTTCCCCCTTCTCTATAAATATGAAATCATCTATAAATCTTTTTCTGTGTGCAACAACTCATATAGCTCCCAATAATATCACATGATGAGAGTAAAATGCTGAGTAAATTCAATATGTTTATCTGAAGCTATAGGGAACACAGGCATGTTAATGTTTCATGGGTGGAGCTTCCATCAGCAAAGTTTTAACTGAGAGGTCACACTTGAGACTTTAGCTCATCTATTCCTTCAACTGAAATTGACTGACTTGTTGAATGTTTGTGCAGCATTTTTTTTTTGTTTCTGATTCATGAAGTTTTGACTCCCAGGGTCTTCAGTCACACAACTGAGGCTCTGGCTAGTATTATCTTCTGTTTAATTTGCCTCCAGCTGTAAGGGGTAAGTGAGGCACAGGCAGGACCATAAGGCTACCAATCAACGTCAATCTTGAAAAACAAAGAAAGTTGCTAGCCTGGTATGGTATCACTAGAGTGTCCATGGTTGGATAAGGACTCAAGCATAAGTCACAACATCATGACTTTGAAATGGCAAGTCATCAAATGCAAAATAACCTGTGATCTCACTTAAATGGCTCCAAAGAACCTATGCCTACTGCAGCTCCAGGTCAGGCTCTGTAACCCCTTGAAATCCTGGAATTCCCTGGGCTAAATGAAAGGGAATATTCCCTGGGTCGCCAACCCTATTCTTGAATTTTGTGCTTAAGAAATTTTATAACAGTAGGGAACACAAGTCAGAAAAACTCATCTATATTTTTAGAAGGTCATCTTTGGAGGTCAGATTTGGTCTCTGTCTACCTCATTTCAAGACTCAATGGAAGTCCCAGCTTATGTTTTTAATTGTGATTGAAAGCAAAAAAGGCCCTACCTCCTGTTTGTTCCTGTTTGATCTTAACTGCAGCAGCTCCTTATTCAACTCACGGTACGTGTCCTGTAATTCAATAACTTGGCGACGACATAAATCTTTGTCCATGATCGTTTTGCTAATTTGCAATTGTGCTTCATCCCTGGCTGAATATGCCTGTGGAAAGTTAAAAAAAAATCTTTTACTGCACATTACCCTCATGATTAGCCTGTTTATGGCTGCTTCAAAATTTATGCTGATCAAGGAGCTTTATAGTTACAAAAGTTTTTACGCTAAACTGATTACCATTAAGACAATGCTCCAACGTGCACTGTCTGGCTCCAATAATGAACCTTTTTGGTATTCATGGCCTGAGGTTTCAGAACTAAAATGCCAAATGATGTTTCTGGTTATCAAGCATACAAACAAAAGTAAGGACATTATTTCATATTCACAATCCAACTTGAAATGTAAAATGAAAAGATATCCTCATAAATTACCTAATTTCTTTTCTGCAAAGGAAAAGAAGATAAAGGGATATTGGGACTGGGTGGGTAATTGTGATTGGACTATGTGTTCCTATGTAGGAGTCAAATGTTTCATCCCAACATTGTAACCTCTATGTATTTCTACTTTTAATCATATATCCATATTTAAAAAGTTTCAGTTAACATCAACATCAACACGATAACAATAATATCAACAGGCTATTATTTCCATACAAGAAACGGATTATTTTAATTTATGCAAGCAAGCCCAATATGGGGGGATAGAAATAATTTATTTTGAAGGGCTTTCAATTGGAAATGTTTGATCAATCTTGGTTTCGAGTTTATGGATTCTTCTCAAGTGCAGCATTGAGATTCTTCTGACAAAATTGTCTTTATAAATGTTTCGCACTGCAGCTCAAGCAGTACCATTGTAACAATAACAACATTAATAATGTTTTAAAGCTGTAACTTCCTAAATATTATTTATATCAGTCCTTCATGTTACCTACTCCATTAATATCTGTAAATAAGTACATTAATTATATGTACCACATTTGCTAATGTTGCCTGTTCAAACACTTGAATACAAACATTATTCATACCGTTATCGTCTTTCCTATCATTACTTGTTCCAGTACTGAATATCTAAGTGTCATTAGCCTAATTAGTTAAATCACTCCTCCTTTAGACAAATACAATTCTCTTTCATACGGCAATAATATGTACTCAACAACTTTGAAGCATATGAGAAGTAATTATTATAAGAAGCCCAGTACAATGATTGATGTCCTTAAATAGATAAATAGGTGCCCTTAAAAGGTCAGTAATTAATGGAATTAAGTGAATAATTTGCTGATACTCCCCAATGAGCCTCATATATGAAGCATGACTATTTGGCTGAGACACTGAAAACATGTTAACACCAATACTCCTGCAGAAATTACCACCTTCAGTGATGAGGAGATAGTTACAATTTATTTACCTCATCACGTTCTTTTTGCAGCTCTAACACTTGTGTCTGGAGTGAGGTGATTTTATCTTTGTACATATCACAGTCAATCTTCAGAGTAGCACACTCCATCAGCATATTCTCCTTTTCATCCAGGTACTGGCAGTATAGAAGAAAATAAAACAGGTTGAAATATTTTGAACTCATGGGAACCTCACTCCAAAGCAAAGGGAAAGACAAAGGCTCATCTGAAAGGAACACGTTCAGATGAATCTTAAGATATCAGGTTGCTAAAGTTTAGATGGATTAGTTCCATATTAAGATCGATAGAAGACAGCAATTAAGTATGCACAGTGAAAGCTTTCATAATTGTAAAGCAGCTAGGGACATTGATCCATTGTCAGTGGCATTGTATATATGCAATCTGTTGTGGCAAATTTACTATTTGCATGGACTAACCAGTTGCTGAAATGCATTGTTCAGTACCTTTGCTTCTGAACAGAAATGGGATTTCTAACCATTTAATAATCCTGTTGCCATTTTCTGATGTCAGAGTTGGCAGATGGGTCTAGAAATTGAGTTGGAAATCTGAGGACACCAGTGGCTTGGTCCTTGACAGAAAGTTAGGAATGGGCAAGGGCTTTTGACAGCCAAAGTTTGCAGGAACAATAACAGAACATAGAACAGTACAGAACAGTACAGGCCCTTCGGCCCACCATGTTGTGCCCAGCTTTTACCCAAAACCTAAGGTCTATCTAACCTCCACCGCTACCTTATACTATCATCCATATGCCTATCTAATAGCCACTTAAATGTCCCCAATGAGGACCCTAATCTGGTCCTGTAATGAGGTGACCAGAACTGGACACAATACTCCAGATGTGGCTGAACCAGGCTTTTGTATAGCTGGAGCATTACTTCACGGCTCTTGAACTCAATCCCTCTATTAATGAAAGCTAACACACCATACGCCTTCATAACAACTCTATCCACCTGGGTGGCAGCTTTCAGGGAACTGTGAACATGAACACCAAGATCCCTCTGCTCCTCCAAACTGCCAAGAATCTTTCCGTTAACCCTGTACTCTGCTTTCAAGTTTGTCCTTCCAAAATGAATCACCTCACACTTTTCAGGGTTAAACTCCATCTGCTACTTCTCAGCCCAGCTCTGCATCCTATCAATGTCCCTTTGTAACCTAGAACAGCCCTCCGCACTGTCCACAACGTGACCGACCTTCGTATCCTCTGCAAACTTGCTGATCCACTCTTCCACTCCTTCATCCAAATCATTTACAAAAATCACAAATAGAAGAGGACCCAGAACAGATCCTTGTGGTACACCACTCGTAACTGAGCACCATGTTGACTATTTTCTGTCCACTACCACCCTTTGTCTTCTAAGGGTCAGCCAATTCTGAATCCAATCTGCCACATTTCCCCCTATCCCATGCCTCCTTACCTTCTGCATGAGCCTACCATGGGGAACCTTATCAAATGCCTTACTTAAATCCATGTATACCACATCCACTGCTCCACCTTCATCCACGTGTTTGGTCACCTCTTCAAAGAATTCAATAAGGTTTGTGAGGCATGATCTACCCATCACAAATCCATGCTGACTATCACGAATCAAACTGTGCCTTTCCAAGTGATCATAAATCCTGTCTCTCAGAGCCCTTTCCAATAATTTGCCCACCACTGACGTAAGACTAACTGGTCTGTAATTTCCGAGGTTATCCCTGTTCCCTTTTTTGAACAAGGGAATAACGTTTGCCTCTTTCCAATCGTCCGGCAGTATACCCATGGACAGTGAGGATGAAAAGATCATCGCCAAAGGCCCTGCGATCTCGTCCCTCGTTTCCCATAGAATCCTTGGATAAATCCCATCAGGCCCGGGGGACTTATCTATCTTCAAATTCCTCAAAATTCCTAGCACATCTTCTTTACTAACATCAACCTCCTCTAGCCTACCTGCCTGTTTCACAACATCCTCCTCTACAACTAGGTCCCTCTCAGTTGTGAATACTGAAGAAAAGTATTCATTAAGGACCTCTCCTATCTCTGTGCACAAATTCCCTTTACAATCCTTGATCAGCCCTACCCTTTCCCTGGTCATTCTCTTGTTCTGCACATATGTGTAAAAAGCCTTGGAGTTTTCCTTGATCCTATCTGCCAAGGTTTTCTCATGCCCCCTTATAGCTCTCCAAAGCCCTTTCTTCAGCTCCTTCCTGGCTAACTTGTATCCCTCTGGAGCCTTTTCCGTTCCTCTTTTCCTAAACCTTACATAAGCATCCTTCTTCCTCTTAACTAGTCGTTCGACCTCTCTCGAGAACCATGGCTCCCTCACTCGACCGCATCTTCTCAGCCTGCTAGTGACAAACATATCGAGCACATGCAGTATGCATTCCTTAAACAATCTCCACATTTCTGTGGCGCTCTTCCTTGACAGCATCTGTTCCCAACTTATGTTACCCAGTTCTTGCCTAACTGAATTGTAATTACCCTTCCCCCAATTATAAACTTTACCCTGCCGTATGTACCTATCCTTATCCATGACTATCGTGAAAGAAATAGAGTTATGATCACTACCGCCAAAATTCTCTCCTACCAACAGGTCTAACACTTGGCCCGGTTCGATGCCAAGCATCAAATCCAAAGTGGCCTCTCCTCATGTTGGTCTATCCACATACTGTGTCAAGAATCCTTCCTGAACGCACTGGACAAAATCTGCTCCATCTAAACTATTACAACTAAAATGTTTTCAATCAATATTTGGAAAGTTGAAGTCACCCATGACTGCAACCCTGTGACTTCTGCACCTTTCCAGTATCTGCCTCCCAATCCGCTCCTCTACTTCTCTGCAACTATTAGGGGGTCTGTAAAAAACCCCCAACAAAGTGACTGCTCCTTTCTTGTTCCTGACCTCAACCCAAACTGACCCCCCTCTGTAGACATATCATTCTCGAACTGCCTTTCAGTAGCTGCTATACTCGCCCTGACTAGCAATGCCACTCACCCACCTCTTTTTCCACCCTCCCTATTTCTGTTAAAGCATCTAAATCCCGGAACTTCCAACATCCATTCCTCTCCCTGAGATACAAGTTTCTGTAATGGCCACAACATCGTAGTTCCAAGTACCGACCCATGCTCTAAGTTCATCTGCTTTATTTCTGATACTTCTTGCATTGAAGTATACACACCTCAAACCATCTCGCTGTCCGCAATTACACTCCATCGACTGCATTTCTTTATAAACCACCTCACTCCCTGTTGTGCCTGTTGGAAGGCCGAATACCTCATCCTCTGAATTATAAATCCGGTTCCCCACCCCCTGCCAAACTAGTTTAAACCATCCCGTACAGCTCTAGCAAACCTCCCTCCCAGGATATTTGTGCCCTTCCGGTTCAGGTGCAACGCGTCCTTACTGTACAGGTCCCACCTTCCCCAGAAAGTGCTCCAATTATCCACATAATGGAAGCCCTCCCTCCTACACCAGCCCTGTAGCCACGTGTTTAGCTGCACTCTCTCCCTATTTCTTACTTCGTTATCACGTGGCACTGGTAGTAATCCAGAGATAACTACTCTGTTTGTCCTGGACTTCAGCTTCCAACCTAACTCCCCGTACTCGTTTTTCACATTCTCTGTCCTTTTTCTACCTATGTCATTGGTACCGATGTGTACCATGACTGCCGGTTGCTCACCCTCCCCCTTAAGGATCTTGAAGACACGATCTGAGACATCACGGACCCTGGCACCCGGGAGGCAACGTACCATCCTTTCATCTCGTTCGCGTCCACAGAAGCGCTTGTCTGTGCCCCTTACTATTGAATCCCCCACTACAATTACAATTAATTACAATAATAGGCAAAGTCTGGGCCAGGGAAGCCCTTTGTGAAGAAGTGCTGCTATTCCTTCTGATCCACATGGGTTCTATAGAAAAGTAATTTTTTATAAACAAACTTACAAAATTATCTCAACTCCTCTGACCTGTTGGCCCCTGCACCATAGTTCAGCAGGAGGGATGATTTCCATGTAGGTTCTCAAATTCAGAAGATATAATTATGTTGCAGCCCAGATGTTTTGAATGGGCCATACCCTTGAAGTTTAAAACTTGCCTAAAATTTGGAGACCTGGGCAACTTCACAGATAGTGAAGGTGCAGTATCACTGGACTTAACTGATTACACATAGGGGGGGCAATCAATCAGAGAAAGGTTGCCCCTCTAAAGAGGATGGAAGGAAATGGTGAGGAACCACCCCTCCACTCACAGGCTGCATCTCATAATAAATGTGTTAGCGAGAATGAGAAAGGAGCCCCCGAAAAACTAAAGAAAATTAGCCCTCAAGAAATCTGGCAGACTCCTCAGAAAAAAAAATTTTGTGTTCAAATATCTGATGGGCAAATATAAATGATTAAATGTCAGAAGTGCTTGTTTCTCCCTGTGGTTTTCTAGTTTTACAATGTCTCTTTCAAAACTTTCAACAACCTTTAACTTTAGGTTGCTCGCACCTCATTCCTTAGACGTTCAGCCTGATCGAGCTCCAACCGCAGTGAACTGATCTCTTTCATCAGATCCTGCTTGTCTTCCAGAGCTTCTACACGTTCCTGCTCCAACATGTCAATTGTCACCTGTTTAAAAAAATATTGAATACCTCCATAATTTTAAAATAAAAAGCCAGAAATTCTCATTGAAAGCTTTTTCCTGACAAACATTTCTTTCATTTTGCATTACAACAGTGATTACACCTTAAAATTACTTTAATGACTCTGTAGTGTATTAGGATATCCGGAGATTATATAAAATGCTTTGTAAAGATGAATTGTTCTTTCTTCTTTCGTAATTGCTTTTTGGGTCCCTTGGGTATTGTAAATATTAGTTATCTGAGCTCTGGGTTATCAAAAATCAAAGTTTTATATTCTGATTGGCAGAAAAATCAAAAATTAACAGTAGTGTGCAAAAGGTGATGGCATCATTGAGGTAATCTGAAAGTTAGAGAAGTTTAAATTAAGAAGGAGAGCTTGAGGGAAAGATAATGATAGATACTTATACATATTGCACTATACTCACTGGGTTTATTTGCAACTCTTGAATCCTTGACCTCAGTTTATCAATTTCTCCTTTTAAGTTTAAAAGTTGGTCTTCTTTAGGCTTGAATGCTTCACGCAGCTTGGAGGACATTCTTCGCTCAACATCAAATTCTAGTTTTAGTTTCTTATTCTCCATCCTAAGATCATCCACCTTTTAATTAAGTCAAAAAGGATCACCGTGAAATCATTTTTGGGATATGATGTGAACATTTGAAAAGATTGTCTATTCAGTAACACTCATTTTGCTGTTTGACAATGTCATCCAAACACATTGATTTAGCAATGAGAATATAGCAAAACATCAATTACACAAGAAATTTAATACAGATTAGTTCATCAGAGAACAAAAAGTTTTGTTAGCACAGTCTAATCTACCAAATTATTCTGCTCTAGATATACATAAGTTAGTTAATTTTTAATAATTATTTTTGAATGGTGTGAAACTTTACCACAAATTTTAATTAACATTTTTTTTTAAAAGTGCAAGAAAGAAGTGATAAATCAACAATTTCTAAAATGTATAGCTTCAATCTACCTTTTGCTATTAACAGATGAAGTTTGTTCTTAAATCCTGAAAGTGAAACAGTGCTGAGCAGTTGGTTTAACTGTAGCATATTGCTTTCAATTTTAAAATTAACCACTGCTTAGTAATTAGTAGAGATTCATTCAGGTTGCATTTAGATTCTTGTTCATAGATGACCCACAGTCTATTTTGTGAGACTGTTTGGGGTCCAATTTGGGGTAACTCAATAAATCAGTGGGTAGAGATGCAGCCCAGATGACCTTGACAATGTAAGTTTATTACAATCCCGCAAGTAGGTTGCAGAAATAAGACATCAAATTTGATTGTTAAAATTCAATCTTCATATATCTCAGTTGAACATTACAACATAAATAACAAAGGCGAACAACAGGGACAATTGTTTTTTCTGAAGAAGGGTCTAGGCCCGAAACGTCAGCTTTCCTGCTCCTCTGATGCTGCTTGGCCTGCTGTGTTCATCCAGCTCTACACCTTGTTATCTCAGATTCTCCAGCATCTGCAGTTCCTACTATCTCAAGGACAAATCTTTGACTATTTGTATTGACAGAATGTAAACAACTACTACTGGTTTCTGAGTCACATGTAGCAAATTCTCAATATTACAAATGAACAAGAATTCTACAAAATCTACAAAATTCAACATCTGCCCTTACTGCTGTTTTAAGAAATATGCAAGCAGAAATGAAGGAGTTTTTACTATGTATTTGTCCAGAATTGCAATATTTCACCTTATTTGAATCAATTGATTTTAGTGCCATTGACTAATCATATGATGACAGAAATGTGACATTGAGGGATGAGGCTAATTCATGACCTACAACCTTTTTTTTAAAGTTTATTAACTGTTGGTGGAGGGAAGAGCATCATGTCCTTACAATTGTTTTGCTGCACACCTCCTTGTTTGTATCTAATTATTTATACAATTACACAATAGCCTTTCAGCACTGTACACATGATCCCGATAGATAACAGTGTTATATCAATTGATAACAGCTATATAATGTTTCAAGTCAAATGAAATTTCTCCAAAAATTTCTTCAGTTATTCTAACAACATCTTATAAAAATCCATTTCACCAAGTGATCAGAGAGAAGAATTGCTTTCCTTAATACTTTAACGTAGACTAAGGCCTCTATGCTTTTGCCTTTGATTGACTCTGGTCACTCATTTTAAATGATAAGGAACATAATTGTTACTTATTTCTGACATGCATTCTGAACATACTAAACAATGCTTTTCCCATGATTTTCTGCAACATTGAAACAAGTTTCTACTATGTCTGCTATGTCTGCCAGAATTGCTTGCAGTGAATTGTGCTGAATAATTTGTACGGGCCTATAAATACTGCAGACTGTGCTCAGATACTCTAAATATTGCGATTGGTTGCACGCTAGCAAAAGAATTTCTACACCAATGTGTCACCCTTTGCATAATGTCATGATGGGTAGAGCACTCATCTTTCATTTCAGAAAACACCGTCACAATGTTTACAAAAAAATCCAAAAAGCAAGGTACGTGGCATTAATTTCCTCAATCCCTATTGAACACAGTGAGCATCTGCTTGGCAGCTCTTTGTGACAATGTAGCCAATACTGCTAACTTGCAACATATGGATATCAATACATTGCAACTCCTCTTCCATCATTAGCATTATTTCTCTTGCCTTTATTCTCTATCTCTCACTTTCTTTCATTCTTTCTGTCCTCACATGCTGACTTGCAATTATTCATGAATCATCTCTCTAAAGTAGAATTTTCTGCATAGTCGAGAGTAGCACACAAAACTACCCTCCCGGAGGCTGGTAATAAGGCTTATTAATGAAGCTAACCAGGCCAGGTTAGTGTTTCAGAATGTCTGGCAGGCTAGATTTGATACCTGGCTTCCTACATTATGCATGACTGGCCTACAGCATCAAGATAACAAATTGACATCTTCCTTAACCCCTGCCATCCCAGATCACCACCGGAGATCAAAGGTCTAGGGTCATATTAGAACATTACCTGATTAGGATATGAAGGTAGAAATTTATGATTGAACAATAAAGCAATACCTGTTGATATAGCTCTCTGCTCCGTGTCACGGACATTTCCTTCTCCCGCAGAGTATTTGTATACCGCATTAATATCTGATAGCTCTCCTCTTTCAACCGAATCATTTCGTCATGGTGATGATTCCAGTCCATCTTAATTCTGCTCAAGTTAGCCTCAGCTGTCTTCAAACCCTTGAGCTCAGTCTTCAGTTGCTGGTTTTGGTCTTCCAAGCTTCGAAATTTATCCTGCAACCGATGTCTGTGGTATTTCTCTTCTCCTAGCCATTTCTGAGCCTTCATCACTTCATTCATTAGAAACTGAATTAAATCCAAATTTCCTTTCTCAACTGCAGCGAAAAAAAGCAAATGGGTCATTTTTAGTGCTCTTTCTTGAATACCCACTATCAGAATCCTCTGCATGACAGCATGATTGGGACACATTTTACTTTTGTCATTTACTGCAAACTATTGACAGATCAATGACCAGAATGTCAGTAGTATGTATGCATGAGTTGAAGAAACTGACTCTCAAGTAAAACTGAGGGCAAAGAAATAAGATATTTGCAGAGCTGGAATCATATGCTGATAATAGTTTTAGGTTTCTGAATTGCAGTTGGAAATGCGGTTGATTATTATCTAAGAATCATGTTTTGCTGAACTGGCTTACGTTTTATCATTACCCTTTGAGATGGTGTCTAAAAAACTCTATGGCAACTGCAGCATAGCATCATTTTGTATTGCTTAAACACTTTTTAATATAATTCTTATAAGTATTTGGACATGATGCTAAGGACTAATTTTAAAACCGAAAGCTGATTTGTACCATCTACGTGACTGATTTAATGGCTACCCAATATATAGCCTAGGAAAACAGCTATTTTGATAGGTTATTACCATCACTATTGTGCAGTGAATTTAAATAATAAACTGTTACTGGATAAATCTTTCCATCCCATACAAGTGGACAGATCACCATAATGGACAGATCACTTCATAATGCTCTGGTATACCTAAATATCTAAACCCCTTTCCAATAAAATAATGAGATACACCCACTTCTCTTCCTCCCATCCAGAGCCATAAACTCTTCTTCCAGGTGAAAACTGTGCTTCTTACAACATTGTATATTTTATTTGTTACTTATGATGCAGTCTCTTCTACACTGTAGGTTGGGTGACTGTTTTGCAGAACACCACCATTCAGTTTTGCAAGCGGGTTGCCTGTACCTTTATTTCCCTGCCTCATTCCTCCTCACATACTCCATTCTCAGCCTCTTACATTGACACAAGAAAGCTCAATGCGAGGTCAAGGAATAACATCTCACTTTTGTTTACGTATTTTGCAGCCTTCTGAACTGAACACTGAGTTTGATAATTTCAGACTGTAATCTTTGCGCACCCCCCACGCCCCCCTACTTTTTCAGGTGTTGATAATGATTCTGTGGTTGTCATTTACTTCTTTAGAATTACCTTTCGTTTCTATACTTGTTCCATCACTATCATCTCTTTTGCATTTAACTTTGTCTGCATGCCACTCCGTTACAGGGCTTCCATCCCTTACCTTTCCCTGCCTCTGTATTTGCTTAGAAGTTGCTACCTCTCTTCCCAGTTCAGACGAAAGGATATTGACCTTAAATGTTATCTCTGTCTATAGATATGAGGCTGGAAAAGCACAGTCAGTCTGACAGCATCCGAGCAGCAAGTAAGTCAACATTTCAGGCCGAAATCCTTCATCAAGACTAGGAGGGGGGAGGGGTGGGGTGCGGAGGGGGGAGGTGCCCAGAAATAAATAGAGGGAGGTGGTTGGGGCTGGGGAAATGGTAGGACAGACTGTGATAGGTGGATGCAGGTAGTGATTGGTCCGTGGGAAAGGCGGAGTGGATAGGTGAGTAGGAAGATGGACAAGTTAGGTCAGGTCAGCAGGGCAAGGGCTGGACTTGGGATAAGGCTGGGGGTGGAGGGAGTTTGAAGCTGTGAAGTCAATTTTAAGGCCATTGGGCTGTAAGCTTCCACGGCGAAATATCAGGTGTTGTTCCTCCAGTTTACGTTTGGCCTCACTCTGACAGTGGAGGAGTCCAAGGATGAACATGTTGTCAGGGGAGTGGGAGGGGGAATTTAAATGGATGGCAACCAGAAGGTCAGGTGATTGATGCATGCAGAGGGCAGATGCTTCGCAAACCGGTCCCAGAGTCTGCATTTAGTCTCCCCGATATAGAGGAGACCACATCTGGAGTAGCAGATGCAATATATAAGGTTGGATGAAGGGCAGGTGAATCTCTGCCGGATCTGGAAGGATTATTTTTGGCTTTGGATGTAGGTGAGAGGGGAGGTGTAGGGGCAGGTATTGTACCTCTTGCAGTTGCAGGGAAAGGTATTGGGTGTGGTGGAGGAATTGGTGTGGAGTATACAGCTGATGAGGGAGTCATGGAATGAATGTGTAAAGCAGACAGGAGTGGGGAGGGAAATAGCTTTTTGGTGGCAGGGTCTGATTTTAGGTGGTGGAAATGTCGGAGGATGATGCGTTGGATCTGGAGGTTGGCAGGGTGGTACGTAAGGACTAAGGGGGATCTATCCATATTGGTATTGGGGTGGGGGAGTTTGAGGGCATCGGCTGGGGCATTGAGTTTAAAAATTGGCAGGGGATATTGCAGCTTTATAGAACCTTAGTTAGGCGGCATTTGGAATATTGTGTTCAAATCGGGTCGCCACACTACCAGAAGGATATGGTAGCTTTGGAGAGGGTACAGAAAAGATTTACCAGGATGTTGCCTGGTACGGAGGGCATTAGCTATGAGGAGAGGTTGGAGAAACTTGGGTTGTTCTCACTGGAATGACAAAGGTAAAGGGGCGACCTATTACAGGTCTACAAGATTATGAAGGGCATGGACAGAGTGGACAGTCAGAAGCCCAGGGTAGAAGGGTCAGTTACTAGGGGGCATAGGTTTAAGGTGCGAGGGGCAAGGTTTAAAGGTGACGTACGAGGCAAGTTTTTTACACAGAAGGTGGTGGGTGCCTGGAACTCACTGCCGGGGTAGGTAGTGGAAGCAGATGCTACAGTGACTTATAAAGGGCATCTTGACAAATACATGAATAGGATGGGAATAGAGGGATATGGTCCCCAGAAGGGTCAGGGGCTTTAGTTGTGACGGGCAGCATGTCAGTGCAGGCTTGGAGGGTCGAAGGGCCTGTTCCTGTGATGCAATTTTGTTTGTTCTTTAAGTGAGGGAAATGAAGGAGATGCGGGGAATGGCATCTTTAATTACAGAGGAGAGGAAATTACGGTCCCTAAATTAGGAGGATATCTGGGATGTCCTGGAGTGGAATGCCTCATCCCTGGAGCAGATGCGGCAGAGGCAGAGGATTTGGGAGTGTGGGATAGCATCTTTGCAGGAGGGTTGGTGAGAAGAGGTGTGGTTGAGGTAGTTGTGGGAGTCGGTGGGTTTGAAATGAACATCAGTTGTGAGTCGGTTTCCAGAGTTAGAGACGGAGAGGTCCAGGAAGGGGATGGAGGTGTCAGAAATAGTCCCGGTGAATTTGAGGGCGGGGTGGAAGGTGTTGGTGCAGTTGATGAATTGCTCGAGCTCCTCGCAGAAGCTCAAGGCCGCACTGATGCAGTCATCAATATGGCGGAGGAAGATGTGAGGGATGGTGCCAGTGTAGTTTCAGAAGAAGGACTGTTATCACCCTTTGTCTCTCCACCACAGATGCCTGATTTGCTTCTTATTTTCACTGCCTTTAGTTTTTACTTTAATGTAATTTTAATGTTGCCTGTAGATACCTATAATTAATTAACTGAAACATTATAAATATGTCAAAATGAGATATAAATATAAGCACACATGTGAAAAGGTGATTATAAATGTGTTTTTGTGACAAAACAGTAAATTATAAGAGACCGAGCAGTAAACGGGAGTATATTAATGTACAGTAAAGAAAATAGGGGAAAATATACCTTTTAGTCTTGTAAATGCAAATTAATAGGATTTTTCAGTGATTGTCAAAATCAGAGCTATCATTATGAAAATATAACCTTTGCAAAGCTGCTTAAAAATTTCATGTGCATCAAAATTAAGATTACTTCTCCTCTTGCCTCTTGGCAATTTACAGTCATCCCTGAGCAATTATGATTAGAACTCTGGTATTATCTTTCCCCCCAAAGTCTACTTGTGATACCTACTTTGCTGAGCTGCTGAGTTTAGCCAGGCGGCATTAAAACATTATAATTGGTCTCATCGGAAGGAAAAGCTACTGGGAGTTCCAAATTCTGATTGCTATTCAGTGGCTTCTGCTAAAAGAAACCGTGTATGTATTGTGGTTTAGTGCACAATTTGGCTCATTAATAAATGCCCAATGCAGTCAAATCGCTTGGCGGCTCTCAGTTTAAGCTGACAAATGGAGAACGGCCACTTAGAACATTACTTCAGAAGAGCTAATGCCTTCAAAGAAAAAAAATAGAGGAAAGGGAAGAAAAATATCAGAAGCTAAGTCTTTTTTTAAGGGACAATTATTACAAAGAAGTACAGAAAAAGAATTTTGCTGCAGTTTTATAGGCAACATGCTAAGTTGAACAATCTATAGTGCACTCTGATCTTTAGACTGCAAGATTAGCAAGTAGGGAAGATATTTGTGAATGATGAATTGTCTGTGAAAACAGATGCAAATCCAGTGAAAAATATTCATGTACAGACAAGCGATCTAAAATGTTGGAGTATTACAATGCACCTGCAGGTGGCAGTAAGAGCGTGTGGAAGGTACCCTTTCAGTCATATCAGAACAGACACTGTTAAAGGATTACCTACAAAGTACGGAGAGCATAACCAATTGTTTATTAGTCAGCAAGAAGAGATCAACCTAATCATGGGAAAATAAAGCTCAATACCGAACATCCTCTACCTGCAAAATTTCTCAGGTGAACCATGTTTTGAATTATTCATTGCAGATGGATCTCTGAATTTTAGACTCAGTTCCAGATCATTTTCTTACTTTACCTGCACATGACATTCAGCTAGCTCTATTTCCATAATGCTGTGAAAGCATTTGTAATTTTTCACATTGTCTAATCATATAAGTACTTTACTTTTACAAGTAAAGTCTATAGTTATGTTCTTACATATAAAACTAACAATAACTTAGAGAAAGCCTTATTGAGGGCGCAGCCTTGCAGCACCAGATCGTTGGCACTCGGATTCACACAGAGTAAGTCAATTTCCAAAATTCAGGCAAGTAAATGAGTAGAGAAAATATACAAAGGCATATCGTCTTTCCACATGAAAGAAAAGATTGTGAAAATCATTGTCACTAGATGTTTCAAAACCCCTACAGTCAAGTACTTCTGAAGCATCGTCACCGATAGCAGGAGGATAGCAGCCAATCTGTGCAGAACAACTCCCACAAATTGCGATGTGAAATTGACCAGATCATTGCGGGTCAAAGATTGGACAGGATACTGAGGATAATTCCTTTGTTTTTCCTCAAAACAGTGCCATGTGATAATTTAACATCCACTCAAGTTGGCAGATGTTTAACATCTCATCCAGAAATTGGCACCTTCACGGTGCAGCGTTCCCTCTACACTATACTGAACTGTTATCCTTGATTTTTGTGTCCAAGGTCTGAAATGGGACTTGAACTAAAAACTTTGTGATTCAGAGGCATGATGCTATCTAGTTGATGTCAATAGTCTGATGAGAGAGGGAGGCATGGAAGCAGAGTGATTCTTATGTTCCACATAAAAATTGGGTCGCAAAAATGTCAGTGGCCACTAAAGAGCAGATCGTTACACATTCTCGTAGTTAGTGCATGGCCTGGATGTGAGGATGGGCAATGGGACTAAGTAACATGAAAATGAGGAGTTTGTTTAAAAAAGATTAGCCTTACCGAGCATGCTGCTACAATCCCTGGTGGGTTCCTTCCCAGTTATTAATGTATAAATTTCAGGATTATAAAATCCTAAAGACTCCAAAAAGGCAAGACCTCCTTTCTTTCCCCGAGTTCTTAAGAGATCGAGCATGTGCCCTGGAGATTAAAAGTAACACATTAATAATCTTGACTGTCTGTGCTAAGTAATTAATTTTCTAACTTGTGACTGGTTTAAGGATCAATATTTAATCATAAAGAATCCTAATTATCATAAAAATCAAAACGATTGTACAATATAATTTCAAATCGTTTGACTACAGCCATGTATATCAATGATTTTTGTCTGACTAATGGGTTGAGTTTGTTGATTTCAGACTGGCCGAAGCTGCAGGCACAATAATTGATTTCAGTGCTTTTGGTTTAGGAAGAGGAAATCAGTGTATCATTTCTGCCTGGTTACCAGGGAAACCCAATTGAACATTCGCTAAATTTAGAACATAAAGCCTAGAATGAGAAAAGGTCATTCAGCCTTCCCATCATCCATTCTGTTACATTTTTGGGACTGACAACCAAACTTCTGTGGAATGTGCAATAAAGCCACTGGATAGCATATCTCAAACTTCTAATCAGAAGCAGAATGCACCGATGGAATAGGAGGATATTACAAATTGGACTTTGTCTCCAACCTTACATCAAGAGATCAGATTGACCACTCAGTAGATACGAGTCTTTCATATCCATGGCCTACGTTTAAATGTAGCTCAGACTTTGTATTCGCTGCAAGATTCCAATATGGAATGAGATTTTGGCAGCCTCGAAACAGCATATGATTGCATATAATGTGGTATTGGATTGCCAAGTTCACTCAGAGAAACTGAAGAATATCTGATGGAAAGTGCCTCTAATGAACCTAACGACACCACATGTAAGCTAAAAGTGTGTGATGAAATGGAAAGTGTTCTGTTTCCTGACAATAAATCAACAGGGCTGGTATCTCAGCACCACGTCACCCTTTATTTAAACATGGAGAGATCTTGACACTGATCTGGCTTCCTCAGAGCCAGTGATCAGAACCTCTGACACACATCTTTATACCTGTCAGCCCGGGCTCTCTGATTGGACTAGATTAACAGCCTCAAACAGGAAACTCATATTCTAGGAGGTCCACCTGGCTGACCTCATTACAATCACTACACTTCCACGCAAACATAGCTAATTAATTTTATTATGTTTAGAATTGTGTTTAGAAATATTTACCAGTTCTCATATACCGGTGGTTAAGATGGGGGGCAAAAAGAATTTCTTCCTCATCTGTCTCCCCAATTACACGGCACTGGCGCAAGAAGGGTGTGATGTGACAGGGGCGGACCTTGCTCGTGATTATATGGCGCTGGCTTTCAATCAGGTCCCATATTGATTCTTCATCTAGATCCTTTATTTCCTTGTCTTCTGAGACAGCTATGTCCATGATGAATAAGGCTAGAAAAGGAACAGTTAGAGACTGTAAAAACACATGTACAATCATTCCATATTACATTTGGCATATGAAGCACAGGTTTCACTGAAAACTCATTATAATGAGGTAATGCTTTGATAACTTTTTCTAATATTGAAGGTATAACCCTATGGGATGTAATAGCTACTATTTTACATTTAGAGGATTTAATCAAACCATTGCGATCCCAGAAATTTGGCTGAGTGGCACAGTGGTTAGCACTATTGCCTCACAGTGCTGGGGACACAGATTTGCTTTTAGCCTTGGGTGACTGTCTGTGTGGAATTTGCAGAGTTTCCCTGTGACTGTGTGGGTTTCCTCTGGGTGCTCCAGTTTCCTCCTACAGATCAAAATTGTGCAGGTTAGGTGGATTGGCCATGATAAATTGCTCCATAGTGTGCAGGGATATTCAGGCTAGGTAGATTAGCCATCGTAAATGCAGAGTTATAGGAATAGGGTGGGTGGGTCCTGGGGTGATGCTTTTTGGAGGGTCAGTGCAACCTTGATGGGCCAAATGGACTATCTGCACTGTATGATTGTATGTATGATTCTATGCTATGAAATTTCACAAAATGCTTTGTGAATATGATTCAGCTGTAATTTATTTCCCTCAGCAACTGGAATTTCTAATATCCAAAATAATGATGTAAATAAAACAAACTTTTGTGATGTTACCTATTTTACAATAACAGATCATTGTCTGTTGTGTCTTCTAATATCTTTGTTAAAACCTTTATTTGAAATATCCATCCTCATTCAAATATCTAACCTAAAAACAATGGTGAACCAATCGTTGGGTATCCTGATCAATTTCTGCACATGAATGTTGAGGCCTGATTTTGGGCTTTGGGCCTCATTTCCATTGGACTAGAGAGTGATGAATATCGATAGGTGCTGGTGAGGCAGAATTGAATACTGGTCCATGCCTCGTGTTGCTGGAGCCCACATGTAATTGGAGGACTGCAGTCAACTGGAAAAATGGTTGATTGGGTAGGAAGGTAGCAGAGGCTGGTGGAGTTGTTGTGATGATGCTGTATATGGTGGTGATTGGTGTCCTCCAGAGAAAGTAGTCTTTGAATGTGGAATGATAAAGCTCACTCGTTTCAGGTAAGCATACTTTAAACAAAACTTAGTTGGTTGAAGCCGTTACAAGAGGTCCCTTAAGGATCAAGGCTTTGGTATATCAATTGAGTTAGTGAACTGGATACATCACTTTCTCAGAGACTGTAAACATTAGGTTTCAATAAGTGTGAGTTTATCTTGTACACAGGAATCTTTAAGGAATCATACCAGTCCCACTTCCCCACTCATCTTCCATATCTGCCCATAATGACTCAGTTATCAGGTAATGATTGTGTGCAAGGAGTTTAGGAAAGGGAATAGTGTCTCTTCTGGTAATACTAAGTATTCTGTTTATTATTTTTCATGGTCTCATTTCCTCTTCATGCTTTCGCCACTATATGTTGACCAACTCAAAATTTTAAAAGCAATAAATCAAAGTTGAAGTGGCAGGAAACATATGGGGCAGAAACAGGGAAAGCATCCAGAAATCTGCTCATGAGAAATGACTAAAATCTGATGAAAGCAACTGATACTCACTCCTGTCCTGGTAATTTCAGATTCTAGGATTTGCATTAAATATTCCATGAAGTGCAATGCTCCTCAATCCCCTCAAAATACTGAAATCCCCATGTATGTATTTCCAAATCCCAGGCTGCTTTTCAGTACTGCCTAATGTTAAACTATGTCTCCACTGCTGATAAATCAATTATCCCAGTAAATGTGACTTGACATGACAACTCATTATTAAAGTACTAATTCATCGTGACAAAGCTATCTGACATTGACTAATTATATGTATGTGTGCATGATGATACAGAAATCTGTCAGCATGTCTGAATAACAAAAAATATTTCAGTGTAGGAGTTTCTGACTAATTCTGAACATTCTCTGCTCGTCATTTTTATGTGGTTTCTTATTAGTCACCAGTTGGATATGCATCTGGACACTTACTTTACATCAGGAGCTGCTGGGTACATGACTAGAAGACAATGGAGAATGTAAGTTCACTTGACACTCCATTAACTGCACAATGGATTCACTGTAGAAATTTCTGAATATTTATCTGGATGATTTACTGGCTGATTGGACAAACTGTACAATCTTGGTTTAGTCTGCAAATATATGAAGCATGTTGGCTTTTCTCTCTACACCTCTTTACCTCATAACGTGTACCAATTCCCAAGCATCTCTTCACTGATGGTCTCTCTTGAAGAGCAATGTAAGATTGTGTGTAAGTGTGCATGGCTCTTTCTGGTTTGTGGCTACATGTGGGAGACCCATGCAACATAGCTTCGGGCAGAGGCTGCTAAATTAGGTTCAATAGGACATATTAGAAGAATGCAGGGCTGTTTTTTACTGATGTGGCATTCCAGCAATTAACAATATGTACAGGCTGTGCTTTGCCGGAAATCACAGGTGTCAAAATAGTGATTTGCATTATTCTGGATGGAAATCACACACTGGACACCAGAAATTCTGGCAATATGTTCACCAGCTGCTCTCTGAATGGGTGTGTCATGCATATTCGCTGTTACCTCAACAATAAAGACATTGATTGAAATAAATATTGCTTAAATACTGTGCAGTGTAATTCCAACGGAATGTAGCATAGCCTGATAACATGTGTTAATTACAACAAAACAAAGCTTATGGTGAACATGTAGGCCAACAAGAAAAGAGAGGGCATGTGTTAGGTTGAAATCAGCACAGTTTTGGATCAGTTTTGGATAGGAGGCTTTCCAGGAAAACTTTAAAATAGTTGAGACTGGAGGCAATAAAAACCTGGATACGGTTTTAATAGCTCAGGAGAATACCAATACGGTGATACGATGGAGATGAGGACAAATGTTTCCATGATGGAGAGGTTATTGGGCCAGGAGTTCAACTCTGCATACAGTATGACAATGAGATGGTGAACAATGGTCAGGAAAGAGAATTTGTGGTAGAGGCCAAAGATGATTACCTTCAGTCTTTCAGATTAACTCAAGTACAGTGTATCTCATCACATCTAGATATCAGGTAAGCAGCCTGACAACCCAAAGGCAGTGGTGTGAGCGAAGTAGTGGTGTGGTATAACGGAGTAGTGTCAATGCGCATGTGGACCAAAATATCAAGTTTTTGGATAATGTCAATGAGAAGTAGGAGCGAGCCAAAAATAGATCCCTGAGCTCTCCAGAGGTAGTACAGTATTGTGGAAAATGAGAAGAATTTATTACTCAAGATTCTCTAGCTATGCCTGTACAGGTAGGAATGAAATAGAGCAAGGAGAGACTCAGTAAGTCAGACAATGGAGGAAAATTGCTGGAGAAGGATGGTGGCCATCTGTGTCTATATTGGAGACAAGAGAGAAGATTGGTGACTGATGGTGCAGCACTGCCAAAGTCACAGCAGATGCAATTATGACTTTGTAAAGGGTAGTTTCAATGTTGAGGCAGTGTTGGATACCTGAATGACGAGGTTCCAACAGAGAATCATAGAATCCCCACAGTGTGGAAGCAGGTCATTCAGCCCATCAAGTCCACACCGATCCTATGAAGGGCATCCCACCCAGACACATCCCCTTACCTTATCCCTGTAACCCTGCATTACCTATGACTAATTCACATCACCTGTACATCTTTGGTTGTAGGAGGAAACCGGAGCACCCAGAGGAAACCCACACAGATACGGGGAGAATGTGCAAACTCTACACAGTTGCCTGAGGGTGAAATCGAACCTGGGTCCCTGGCACTGTGAGGCAGCAGTGCTAACCACTGAGCCACACATGGTAAAGACGAATACTGATTTAGGCAGTGATAACATGAAAAATTTAAAGGAGAAGTGAAAAGAATAGAATGTGGGGGAAGTGCTCAGCGGCAAGGAAGATGCTAAAGTAGCAAAGGGACAGACTAAGATTTAGCAATAAAGGTCATCACGATAAATGTTTTAGGTGAAGCAAGTCATGGGAAGTCAGGAGGTTTAACAGTGAACAGCTATTCCGGACGAAGAGAAAAGCATTGATTATTGATCCGCTGCCAGGCTAGTGTTGGGAGAGGTGAGTGCGATGGAAAAGAGATGAATAAAACTGTAGTGTTCTGGGTGGCAAAGCCAGCAAGAGAGGAGGTGAGAACGGTTGGAATTGCTCATAAGGAATGATCTAAGGCTATGAGCACATCTATGCTGCGCCTTTAGGAAGATGGCAAGTGAAGGAGAGAGGCAGCCATGGGTTTGAGGGAGGGAGTCAAGCATGCAACAGCATCAGGGAGCTAGGAAGACAAAGGAATGGTGACAGTTTAGGGTAAGGATACCTGGGATTGGAGGACAGGATGTGAGCAAAGTACCAGACGGGGGGAAATAAAATAATGTGTGACTGGGTAATGGGAGAAGGGGATGGGACTGAAAGACTTGAGAAGAAAAGTAAAAGACAAAAGGTCAGTGTAATAGGCTTTCAGTTTTGGAGTGCAATAGCTACCTCTGAAGACAGGAATCATTTCAGGAGGTAGATCACTGAGAACGTGCAACCAAAATCACAACTGGTAAATTTAAATAGCTGCCGTGCTAATCGTATTTTCATTACGATCTCTATCTGTAGCTTGTCTGATATTCATTAATGTATTTGGTACACTCTGAATGGGTTACTCATTAAGATATAAATTCATGCTAAAAAAGAATGCCTTTGAGCTTCTGTTTGGCTGCTTAGTCTGGTTGATGAATGCCTGGAAATTCCCTTGATTTAGCACCAGATTCAAAGAGACGTCAGGAAAGGGGAAATCCATAGCACAGAGGCAGTTTTCTTCAAGGTCAGCAATAAACAATGTTACTTCACCACTGATCAGGAAATCCAGATAATTGCATCAGGAACTCAGTAATGGTGACTTTTTATTGTTCTGTAATGAGATTCACTTTACCTCAACATCAAGGGACTTTATTCATAGAATAGTGATTATTGCAAAATCAACTTTGTCAGTGCAACTGAACACTAGAAAGAACCAGCTCTGGCTATAGAAGCTACTCCTGATAATTTAAAATCATAACTTAGTAATAGAAGATGTAAGAGCAATTGTAGGCCATTCAGCCAATTGAGTCTGCTCCACAATTAGATAAAATCATGGCTAATCTGATAATCCTCAACTCCACCTTGCTATCTTTTCTCTATAGCCCTAGATTCCCTCACTGATTAAAAATCTATCTCAACCTTGAATATAATTAATGACCCAGCCTTGACAGCCTTTTGTGGTAAAGAATTCCATAGATTTACTACCCCCTGAGAGAAGAAAGGCTTCTCTGTCTTAAATATACAACCCTTATTCTGAGATTATGTCCTCTGGGGCATGGATAGGGTTAGTAGCCAAGGAGGGTAATCCAAAACTAGATGGCATTGGTTTAAGGTGAGAGTGGAAAGATTTAAAAGGGCAACTTTTTCACCCAGAATGTGGTGCATGTATGGAACGAGCTGCCAGAGGAGGTGGTGGAGGCTAGTACAATTACAACATTTAAAAGCCATATGGGTGGGTACATGAATAGGCAGGGTTTAAGAGGGATATGGGCCAAATGCTGGCAAATGGGACTACATTAATTTAGGATATCTAGTCGGCATGGACAAGTTAGACCGAAGGGTCTGTTTCCAAGCTGTACATTGCTATGGTCCTACATTCTCCCATAAGGAGAAACAACCTCTACCCTGTCAAGTGCCCCTAAGAATCTTCTATGTTTCACTTCTTCAAAACAAGGGAATTCTTGTTTGGGGAAAAAAGAATGGATTATCTATCATTTAAAGTAAGCAATGTAATTGCCATGCAAATTAGAACTTGGTGAGTGCCAGAATTGACTAAACAATGTAATTTGAGTGAAGCAATTTGTAGTTACAAAAGCAAAAATACTATCAACTTGGAAAATATGGATTAAGTAATGAAAATGCTAGAAATTTCAGCAGCCCTGATAGCAAATGTGGACAGAGTAGCAGAGTTAATGTTTCATTATCATTTTGACAACCTTCAGAAGTTCTGATGAAATAACTTCGACCTGAAGCATGAACTGGTTGTCTCTCTACATATGCTCTCACAATTTCTAAGAATCCCCAATATTTTCTGTTTTAAGTTCTAATGGGTGATTGTTGATACTTCTATAATTGGGTTGGAGCTTTGAGATTGAACAACACATAAAACAATACCTGTTCTCAGTGTGCTGTTGTAATGTTATAAATGCAAGTTCTTCCCACAGCTACAAATCATTGCTTGACAGATGATATTTTTCCCATGGAGAGTAAAGGTAAGTCTGCTTTCACAAAAGTATTTCAAAGGTGGAAATGTACTTTTGTAATAATCAGTTCTTAACTTTTTTTTTGCTAAGATGACTCTTTGGTTTAATTAGTCAATAGGTAATTAACATAGCATATCCAATATTTTGTTTTCTGTATAAACAATTACATGATTTTGCCTGTAGTGGAAGTGATTATTCTAATGGAAGCTTGCAAAAAAAAAAACCCATGAAAATCTGAGTACTGCAATGATGTTGGACTTTCAGAGGTCATGTTCTTCAAATTATTTCAGTTCAAAGAAATGAAGGACACCAAGTGTTCGGATTTTGCTCCGGCTAAAAGTGATTTATTTGAAGGCAAGTGGGCACAGAATGGAAGCAATGCAATCAGACTGTAAATTTAAACTGATTAAATTCAATATTTTTAAAGCTCTGATATAAAAAGAAGTAAATTTTTGTATTTCTTTCTTCTTATATTTTCAAAATTGAACCTTTGGGATTTCCAACAGAATTTAACCTGAATCATTCATTGTTTCCTGCAAGGATAAGGGGACAGTAGCAGACTAATCAATTGCTTTGACCTACTTCAGTAGCCAAGTTATAAATTATTTCTTTTCATTTTGTTCCTTTTCACTTCAGCACTAAGGCAATTACTATTTATTAGTGATACTGTATACATTCTACTTATTGTGAATCTTATCAAAGATGATCATTGTTTTAGCTATACTAAATATGCTGTATATTACCTCTAAACTAAGGCAATATAGTCTCACAGTCTTGCTGCAAGAAACTGCAAGTTTACATTCCATGATAAATAGAAACCACAAACTAGAAATTGAATAGTATAATTTATTTGCGGGGAATATTGCATTGTGCCTGGACTGCCTTGTCTCAGCCCTAGAAATAATTTATTTTCATTTGACATCAACATGCTATTCTGAGTAGTAATGGAAATATGTCATAAAGAGCAATTTATTATTGTTTAAAAAAATTAAAACAAATCTCAGTGTATGACATTTGATATATATCAGATATATATTTGTGTGAAATTTATGTATATTAGCACTTTGAATTTGTTATCAGTATTTTTCTACAAACTCATATGTTAGGACTGAACTAAGTTTCCAACTTATTCAACTGCATCAACAACTAACAACTGATGATTATAACAATGTTGTGTATATTTTGTCTGACTGATTCATACAAGTCTAGACTTTGAACTTCAGTTTTTACATACAACATTCTAAACCAGCTTTTAAGCATTTCTTAGTATAATCTAAATTCCTCAGTTGGGAGTGTAACTGAACGTCTCCTTGTCATCCTGTCAATGTACCTGCAGAACTGGAAGCATACAATGTGCGTAAGGAATATTCCCTTTGTTTTTCCTTCAAAGAACGGCAAACTTCCACTCCACACCAAACCATGGTGACTCAGCTGAGATTAGGAAATCATCCTCACACAAGCCATAGGTGTAAACCCAAATCTGCCACTAGCAGCACAACACTAATACAGTGGGATGTTATTATTACTTACTATTTAAATTACAATTTCAATCCTTAAATAATCCAACAAATTAACACATTTGCTTATCTAAATTAATTTTTAACAGGAGCAGCAGTTGATTTCAAACATAGATAGGTAATGGTAAACACATGACTATTAATTATTGTACTTAAGTGTCAGACAAGCAATGAATAGCAACCTGCTTTATAAACCTTAATTTCTACCTCCCTTCAATTCCAAAGTCATGCTCGACTTGAACTCTTTCCAAGATACTGCCTGACCTGCCAAATCTTTCCAGCTCTTTCCGTTTTTATTTCAGATTTCCAGCATCCACAGTAGTTTTTTTTATTATAAACCTTCGTTTCTAGTAGAATCACCAACTACTGACTAAACTGCTAACATCAAACATCACACAAAGCAATCCACTTACAGCAAAAGGGTTTCTCATGCAGTATCTGAAAATATCTGGCAAGGCGCTCTCCTACAGAATGGACAATTCTTCCTACTTCACTAAGTCAAAAAGCACAACCACAGAACAGAACAACGCAGCCAGAGAGAGAGAGAGAGAGAAAGAGATGGAAACAAGGAAGTAAATGTTTTCAGGAAATAGATGAAAATAAGTGATCTGTTTTAAATTAACTCTTCAAGAACCATAATATTAACAGTCTTAGTAAATACTCACCTTTTCCACTTTGATTTTCAAAGCTAGTAATAGATTCTACTGAATGTTGTGGAAAAATAAAGTACTCTGTATTTCTATAATGTGATCAAAGTATGAATTATTAAGATCGAGAAATGGTATATCATAAATGATACAATTGTAGTGTGGCCAAAATTATGCACTATTTTCCAAATTTGGCCATTCAATAGATTATTAAGCAGATTGTTTGGACGAATTAGATATTCTTTGGCCAATTCATAAATCCTAATTTTAACTGGAAATAAGTGGCAAATGTGGGAGTGTCAGGACAAGTGTCAGACTCTCCTCAACTTGCCATCATGAAGTTCAGGTAATTTAACTGCTGGGGACTGTTTAACCATGTTGTGTCCAACGATTCCTATTGCAACCTGACATAACATGACCAACAATCAAACTCCTCTAAAGTTAATCTCATAAAACAGGGTCAAAAAGGGAATTCTGAAACAAAGCAATGCCTATGAGTCAGATCCACAAATACTCTGATGGAGCAAATTGAAGAGGATTTTGCAGGTAGGACTCACATAAATGGTCTGTACTGAGTGGTGAGAGGGGTGGACAAATAATGGCAACTGTGGGGAGAAGGAGTTAGGAAAAACTCAGGCAACTCAGGCATTAGGTGGCCCAGAGTTTCCTTCAAGGGCTAGACAACCCTGTTTCTCACAGGCCCACAAAGTAACACAAACAAATATAACCTCATTTTCTCAACTATTTCCTGTTCATTGGTACTGGCTTTCCCTGGCAAAGGTAGCACAAGGCATGAAACACATTGAAAACTAATGTAAATGACATTATCAGATCTCAATTTCTGAAGTTTAATGGAGTCTGGTGTAAAATGTTGACAACCGCCGGTACCAAATCTGTTAAAATACAGGGGCAGTGCATGATGTAGCGAAGATGACAGTCATGCTGCCATTAGTGGAATCCCTTTTCAGGTGCAGAGGATTTTTACAAAATCAGGAGGTCGTCATTTGACATTTCATGCTGGTTTATGAAAGCTCCTGACAGACACATTTGCCAGACCTTTCCTACATCCCTTAAAGTTTTCACTTTGAATTATTTATTTACTCCCTCTTTAAAAACAAACACAGATTATACTCCCACCATTGTCTCAAGTAAGGCACTCCAGATCTTAACACTTGTTTGCTTTTTAAAAATCCCCATTTTTCTCCCATCATTCTTTGTCTTGATGTTAAAATATATACATACTTTAGTTCCTGTTTACTGGCTGTAAGAATGGATTCCATAATCGGATCCTAATCATGCAGTGTCTGTTGATTTCATCAGCTATGATAGAAATAAAAATGTTGCACAAGTAGAATAATGCAATCAATTCTGAAAACCTTCCACTCACTCTTGTATCTCCCTAACAGTCAAGAACTTTCCCTCAGTAAAATAACTCAATCATTTATGCATATGATGTCTATCAATACATCTGACATTGCCACTACAGTTTGAAATAAGATTACAGCAGTACATATTAATCATAGATGCTCACATATATGATTTTCACCAGGGTCACACAGCGGTAAGTGCACATACACATTGACTGTACCACATGCAGGTTCACATACGAGACCTATCACACACAGAGAGGCGCACACACGTTTAATTATTAAAATGACAATTTTCTAAAACATTGTACTGAAACAAAACAAGATCAGATAGATGTAGAAACACCAAAAACCAAAGCCTTGTTAGATTCTCCTGAGGAATCAACAAAACATTTTCATCAGTAAAAGCAAAGAAGGAAAAAGAAACTGACTCCACAGCCAAAACAATGGAGTCCACTTTTAAAACCTTTTTCAAAACACAAGTATTTTCATATCCGAATTAATTCAAAGCATTTAAGAATCACACATATGGATAGACATACACCATGCATTTACCTTTTAAATAATGATCCACCTTAGCAAACCCATTCGTGCAGAATAATGCCAGAATTCAAGGCCTCCTGTAAACACTGCTGAGAATCTAGAGCACCCACACAGTGCTGTCAGCCTATCTGTTGCACTTCAATCAGGTTTTTGTAATTATATCGTGCACTGGACCATGCTTGAGGTTGCTTCCAAAGCAGTTGCTGAGCTTTTACTTATGCCTTAAATTAGAGCGAAGAGGTAAATGGAAATAGTGTCTTTTTAAACCAGAAGAAACTCGGAAGGATTTGTCTTGTTCTGTTTGAAATATGTTTATTTATAAAATGATTTTATCTTGCCACTGAAATGTAATCTAATCCATTCATATCTAAATTTCAGTATTTTCAAACATTCTCATTTTTAATTTGAGTGGATTGTTTCCCTCATTTTACCTGAGGGTAAAATTTCTTTAGAGATTCTCCTGCTCCCTCACTAAAATGTTTGTATAAGATAGAGGTACCTTACGGAAATGGGACTATGGGATATTCCTTGATGCCAGAACTTCTGCCCGAGTTAAAATAGGACATCAGGGAGAACTCGCAAGGATCGTCTTTCTTCCAGATTTAAAACATCTTTCCTGATCAGTTTGTACTGATTTTCAATATTTTGTGTCTCATAGAATTTCTGGAAACTTAGCAACCTTTGAAGGCCATGAGATTTAGCTCTTTGCAAATCTGCTATTTCCTGCTTGCTGATCTTGAAATTAGTGTCCTATAGTGGGGTATGACCTATTCTTGTGAAAAATCTTTCATGACAGTCGATGTATTTGATCTCTGAAATAAGAATAACTTGTATTTGCTAGTTTTTCAGTGAAAAGTGGAAAAACATCCCAAAGCACTTCACAGGGGTGTAACCTCACAAAAATCGATAAGACAAATAATAATATATTGGGAGAGATAACCAAAAACTAGTTAAGTAAATTTAATGGATGGACTTCAATGAGAAGAAAATGGTAGAAATGTTTGACATGGAAAATCTAGCACTTGGAACCCAGACTCAATATCAATGGTGAGATGAGGGGATACACAATAAAACGTGAGATGTAGGAATAGATGTAGGCCATTCAGCCCACTGAGATGGCCAAGCTGTTCAATAAGATCATGACTGATTTGATAATCCTCAATTCCACTTTCGTGCCTTATCCCCATAACCAAGGGGCTTATGCCAGTGGAATGGAAAAGCATTTTAAGTAAAGTCTTTTAGTTGAATTATGCCAACTTTGGAGCACCTTTACCATAGTGGGAGGTCATGGATGTTACAATCTCTTTGGTGAACTGTAAACTAACCAAGATAATGATGCCATTCTGAAAATGATGGAGAAACAATTTAATAATTGAATCAACTGTCAAAAGATATTTGTGATGTTGAAGATTTGCAATTAAATGAAAGTCAGTAATGTTAAGATGCATCTGATTTGTTATCTAGAACAACAGCTCAGTTTCATAGGCAACAATTTCAAGTCTGCCAGATAGAATTCCATCTTGTTCCACTAAAGTGCAGATTTTCAAATTGAGATTCAATGAACACTAGATGCTTGCAAATGAGTACAAGGCCATCGTTCATTTTGGCTATGCCTTCTGTTTACTTACTGACATCTGACTAATGTTACTGAAATCTCTCTGCAGTGACTATTTGAATGAAATAATACAAATAAGAAAGATAACATTGGTTTTCTTTCGAGTAGTTGGTAGGATGTTAGCACATTGGGTTTCCCAACTGTGCAAATATTTAGAAGGGTTCCCAATCACAGAAGTCATCATTCTGTTATCAAAAAAGAAATAAGATACTGAGGAACAAATATTTAAATTGCACTAACAATCACCTCTCAAAGAACCGTGAATTCTATTTTCCATATTCTTCAATTATATTTAAGTTATCTCTGATCCCAACTTTATTCACATAACAAATTCCCTGCTGCCTAGTTTTGCCAGGCAAAATGTAAGAACCATAAGACATTATGACATCATATTAACATAAGAAAAGAAAGAGGAGCACGAGTAAGCCATATAAGCCCCTCGAGACTGCTCTACCATCATGGCTGATCTTCTAGCTCAGTTCCAACTTTGTGCACTATCTCCATGTCTCTTCATTCCTTCTGTATCCAAAAAAAGGTATTGCTGTCGGCTTTGAACATTGTCAATGTCTGAGTGTCACTAGCTCCCTTGGGCAGAACATTCCACAGTTTCACATCTTTGAGGGAAGAAATTTCTCTCCATCTCACCTTCAAGTGGCCAATTCCAATTCTGAGACTCTCGCATCCTTAATTTCAGACTCCACACTTTGGCCACTGCACCATCTCAACACTATCCCCTCCCAACATCTACTCCATCAAACTCATTAAGAATTTTATATGTATTGATGAGAGTATGTCTAATTCTTCTAAATACTTGCGAATATATGCCCGGTCTAATCAATATCTCCTTGGAGGTCAATTCTTTCATCCCAGGAATCAATTCTACATGCACTTCCTCTAAAGGAAGTACTTTCTGGATTAGGAGACCAAAATCCTTGATGCTACCCTGGTGTAAAAATGTGCATAAAATAATTAGACTTCTTTGCTTTTATACTGCAATCTCTTCGCATCATAGGCTGACCTACCGTTTGATTTCCCAATTGTTTGCTGTTTCTGCATGCCAAACTTCTGTGGTTCATTTACGTACAAACATTTCCCAGCCTCTCTTATCTAGAAAATATCAGTATTCTGCTTTTGTTTATCCAATCAAAGTTAGTAATTTCACAATTCTCCACATTCCATCTGGCATATTCTTGCCTACTTATTCATACATATAAATATTTCTGTAATTTCCTTGCATCTTCCTGTCAGCATACTTTCAAAGGTAACTTTGTATTGCTAGCAAGGTTGGACACATTGTACTGAATTCCCTTATCTCAGTTATTTACTATCAATAGCTGGGGCTGAAATTCTGGT